CAGCGGGGGTAGAATAGAATAGAATATTTCAGTTGGTAAGGAACCTACAACGATCATCTAGTCCAACTGCCTGACCAATTCAGGGCTGACCAAAAGTTAAAGCATGTTGTTAAGGGCATTGTCCAAATGCCTCTTAAACATTGACAGGCTTGGGGCATCGACCACCTCTCTAGGAAGCCTGTTCCAGTGTTTGACCACCCTCTCGGTAGAGAAATGCTTCCTAATGTCCAGTCTAAACCCCCCCTGGAGCAGCTTTGAACCGTGATCCAAACTGTCATGTTTTGGTCCCATCAAGACTTGTTGCGTAGCCACTGCTGGAGTTAACTATTGTCCTTTTGTCAGGTGAACGTGAGGTTGGGACAGAAGGGAAAATCCTGCTGCTGGCTCGAGAAGACAAGAAACTTCAAGGAGTGGGACTGCAGAGCAGGCAGCCGGTAAGGGGTCTGAGACTATCAGAAGTACTTGCCTGGGAGAGTGCTCTGAGATGCTGCTATAAAATCAGCTCTGGGGCCCCAGTCCCTTCGTTTCCATTGCTGCTGCAGCAGCTCCTCGGTGTGTAAGCTGCTGTCCACGTGGCTGTGCAGAGCCCTGGGCTGAGGAATTGAGACAGGTTAAAACTAACCTAGATGGGTGAGCTGGTTAGTGTTAATCCCGTTCTGCTCCCCTGGTGAGGTTCACCACCTGGCACAGAAAGGGACACAACCAGGCTGGAGGCAGGGGAAGGCTGATCTGCCTGCCTTTGGCCGAGGTCCTACACTGCAGTGTTCTCCCCCATGTGTATTTCATGGAAGAAAGACTAAAACCTGGTACAGTAAAGGGATGCGTTCTCTCCTTTCTGCTGGCTAGGCTTGTATGCAGGGGTTTGAGGCGTATCAGTTTTTCATGAGTTTAACCCAGGTTTGGGGAAGACTATTTAAACAGTGGCTAGCAGATGTCATTGTGAATGCAGGAACTGCAGGCTGCCTCATCCAGCCAAGATGTAAAGTTGCTGTTTATTCTGGCAGGTGTTTTAAGTAGGGTGTGAAGGGGACCTCGGGTGGTCACCAGTCCATCTCCCTCCTCTTGGCAAAGGGAGATGGAGTTGGTAGATCTCGGGTACTGAAGCCCGAGCTCCTGGTGATGTAGCAGATTAAGCTGCTTGTGGGAGATGGAGTTGGTAGATCTCGGGTACTGAAGATCTTACCAGGAGCTCCTGGTGACGTAGCAGATTAAACTGCTTGTGGCGTTTGTGGAGAGTAAAATTGGGGTGGAACAGATATGCTCGCCAAGGCTGGTCAATGAGCTGGCAAGGGCTCACCTGGAAAAAGCTCGCAGGCTCTGTGACAATGACTGCAGCTCTGGGAGGAAGGAGTGGTCTTTGCCAACCTGCCTGGCAGATCTGGTCTCGCTGCTCCGTGGGTGTCTGAAGATTAGTCTGAGCTCAGCATCGGTTCGCCTGTCACAGTGACACATCCTTTCTCCGAAGGAGACCCAGGAGCATTCACTGATTGCACTGTCTCTGCTGACCTGGTAAAACCGATCCTGGAGCACTGTTCCCCTCCGTGTTTTGGAGCGGAGCTGAGGCGTTATTAACCTCTGGGTTTGCCAGTTTGTGCCATGACTCACGGAAGCGACTGTACTGACTTCTAAAGAAATTATTGCTTCCTTCTCCTGGGTGTTCTGTGTCCTCACTTGTGAGCGTCTGACGCTTGAATTTGTTCCTATATTCCCAGGTGTTCCTCTTTGTCGGATCTGATGCGTTCAACTGCTGCACGTTCCTCTCAAGTACCTATATCCTAGCAGGGGCTCAGGATGGGAACATATATCAGCTGGATGTGAGAAACACAAAGTGAGTGAGTGCCTGGGGCTGCAAGTGTTTAAACGACAACTAGTTTTTTGGCTGGGAGAGAGGGGCAGATTGAGGGTGCTGGCAGACAGTGCTCCTTCTAAAGGGCGGATACAGCTCAAGCCATGGCACTGTGAGCTTCTGAGCCTCTCGCAGCCGTTTCTTTCTCTTGGGGAGCACTGAGGAGGATACTTTTTCTCAGGTTGGTGATCTGATGGGAAGCGTCTCCTAAAAGACTGTAGGCTCTGTGCAGGTTCCTTAGTTACTGAAAAGCTTTTCAGTCTTGATCTGTGACCAGGGGTGCTCTTGGCATAGCCGTACCTTGCAGATTATTGCTTTTTTAATATATATATAAAAAATTATGTTCATGTACTGTGCATGTTATGTTATATATGAATATCGTGTGATATTATATAATCTATATATAGAGAGAGATAGATTTAGCAGAAAACTTCTTAACAGCCGTATTCCTCCCACCAAAAGCACAGCCCCTTCCTCTGCTTCGCTGGTGAGACTTAAGTGCCTTTGTGGGACCTTAACATTTACCCTGATCCTCATTCCAGCATAGGCCTGGAACTGAGCTGTCGCTGAGGGCAGGAGCTGCTCTAAGTTGGTTTTTGTTAGTGTCCAAGGCGAGCTCTGAGCAGGGAGGCATCCAGGTGGTGCTTTTGGGTGGGGGCTGGAGAGGTTGGCACCAAAGTCTGAAGAGTCTTTCATGCTGGATGAGCTCCAAGCTTTTGTCTGTGTCTTGGTAAGGATAATCTGTAATCCATCATGGAGGCTTACTGGTGTTCACCTGCTAGCTAACTCTTTATTCCCACTTTGATCCTTTGGCAACATCTGCAGGAAAACCAGCGCTGACTCCCGTCTGCTTCTAGAGGACAGAGGCTCTTTGCTAACCACTGATCAAGTCCCCATGTCCTGTATGTTCTCCTCATGTATCTCTTAACCACGAGCTCACATTCTTCTTTCAGTGTTCCCACATTGGAACGGGCTCTTGACTATAGACCGTAATACTCATCCCTTGTTTCTGCTCCTTCTTCTAGCGCTCCAATCCAGGTCATCCACAGATCAGGAGCACCGGTGCTTTCACTGCTCCCGTACCGAGATGGATTTATTGCCAGCCAAGGTAACTCAAGTGCTGTGCCAGTAGAAATTGTGTAATCGAATTGAGGAGTTTCATGCTCTTTGGGTATTGCCCTCTTGCATACAAGCGCGTGGCTGGCTTGTAGAAGAGGGCTGGACTGTGTCTGTGGCAAAAAGGTGATGTAGTAGGAGCTATATTACATGGTTGCTTTTTGCCTTGTGATTTCCACCTCCCACCTCCCCGTGTTCCTCCAAAATAGGGCCTCCAAGGTGCATCTCAACCGTTAGAGCCTTTTCCCATCTCTCTGACATCCTCACAGCATGTTTCCCTCTTCCTGGGGGCTTCATACCCTGTGATCAGGTGTTTCTGATGGACCTGTTAGTGCCTGTTTGTAATTAAGAGCATGGCTTATTTCACAAATTGGCTGATGTTTCTTCCTTGCTTGGTAACTCTTCTGCTCGTGTAGGTGATGGAACCTGCTTTATCGTTCAGCAAGACCTCGATTATGTCCTCGATCTCACAGAAGCTGACTGCGACCCTGTGTACAAGGTAAGGAATATGGTGTATCGCCCAAGATAAAGGGTGTAGGGAAAGGTGATGCCAGGTAGCAGGCAGCTGCCTTTATCTCGGGATTTGGCAGCCTGCACGATGGGTTCCTTCAAACAGTTGACTTTGAGCTTATTTTTTTTTTCTACCTGAATAATGTTTTGCATAAACAAATCCTCTGCGGTATACGCTGGCATTATCTCCATCGTGCAGGAGCAGGACTGAAGCAGTGGAGTGGCTTGGTTGTCGGAATAGCTCCGGCAGAACCGTGTTTCTGTAAAGAAGTGTGAATTAACTGTGCTCGGAGGATCATCGGGGTGAAAGCAAGAGCTGGCTGCGTAGCGCTGCCTGTTTTCTCTGGTGACTCGAGACCAGAAAGTGGGTCTTGCTGCTGTGTTTCCAGACGCCCTGCTGCGCTTGCGCAGATGAGGGAGTGCGACCTGGGTTCCCTGGGCTCTCAACCTGGTGGCGCTGGTGGAAATCAGCTCTTGTTTTTAACCCGTTCCAGCTCCGTGGTCCAGTTCTCCCTCTCCTCGCACGGAGGCTGAGATTTGACCTGCACGACTCGTTGGCGTGAGCAGAACACAGTCGTGTCCCATTTCGGATCTAACAGCAGAACCCTTCTGCGAGCGCTTGCCTGCTCCCTAAGCTCCTGTTGAAACCTTGAACTGTCCTTTCAAACCTGCTAATGCTGTTTCAGGAGACACCACCTCCTCTTCCCTCTGTAAAAGTCCAAAAGGAAAGCTGATCTCTCTAAATAAGCACCTGAATTTTACTTTTAACTGTCACTTGAGAGAGACTCTGCTTAAATACTGCTCCCCCTCTTTTTCAGGTAGCTTCTTGGGAGAAGCAAATTTACACGTGCTGCAGAGATGGGATAGTGAGGAGATACCAACTTTCTGACCTTTAAGTGCTTGGATCGGCCGAATGGTGGAGAGATGTGTTGAAATAGCTCTTCCAAGCTTATTTTCCTGTACGGCGTGTTTGAGATGTGTGCACAGAAGTTTCTGAGGCTATTGGCATGACCAGGCTCTATACAGAGGTTTTTGGTGACAGGTAATATTTCTTACTACAACACAACTTTGATCGTTTTTAATTCAGAGAGCGGCTCTGAGGCGTTAAAGAGGATCTTGTGTTGCAACAATTTTTTTCACTGCTGAAAAACTGCTGTTTTGGGGGAGGGGAGATAAATAAATTGGAGGTGGGGGCGATGAAGGCGACTGTACTGCAGTATGGACTGAAATAAAGCAACTGCTTTGGTAACACCTGTGTGGAAAAGAAATTTTCCAAGAAAACGCCTTTTTTTTTATTAAACAAAAAAGAGCCGCTGCCTCTCTTGCAGAAGGCATGAGAGAAATTTTCCAAGAAAACGCCTTTTTTTTAACAAAAAAGAGCTGCTGCCTCTCTTGTAGAAGGCATGAGGGGGGCGGCCGGAGTCCGGAAGTGCGCGGAGAGAACTACAACTCCCATAGTGCCCCGCGCGGGAGAGACAGGAAGTGCCGCTCTGCCCGCCGACGCGGTGTCCATAGCAACGGGGGAGCGGGCCGCCATGGGGCAGGACTACTACGCCGTGCTGGAGCTGGGCCGCGGCGCCACGGCCGCCGACATCAAGAAGGCGTGAGGGGCCTTGGCCTTGTGGGGGGAGCCCAGGGGCCTGCCGGGGTCGGAGAGCGGCCTGGGGGGCCGGGAGGTGGTGTTGGGAATGGGGGCGGCCCTGTGCATGGCTGCCCTTTGCCTCCCCCCCTCTCCACAGCAGGGGCCTGAGGGGGAGAAAGGGCCTGGGAGCAGCTGTGAGGGAGCAGCCTGGGCTGGGGGTGTTCTGGCACCCCGGGGCTGGCCGTGAGGCTGGGCTCTCCCCTCCTTTCCCCTTCGTAGCTATCGGAAACTGGCCTTGAAGAACCACCCTCTAAAATGCAAGGAGCCCTGGGCGCCGGAGAAGTTCAGGCAGCTGGCGGAGGCCTACGATGTGCTGAGCGACCGTAAGTGGGGAGATGGTTCTCTTCCACGGAGTTTAGGGGCAGGAGGGGCTGCTGCTCTGGCCAGAGGCGTGCTGAGGTCTGAACCCCCCATCACTGGCACACCCAGGGAGGTAGCACCAGCTCTGTGACCCACAGCCAGGCTGACTGCTGGCATGTATTCCCACTTCCATCCCAATTTGCTGTTCTCAAGGTGGTGAGGGACTCCCCCTCTACAGTCTCCACCCAAGCAAAGCCTGGATTTCAGGCTCTCCCCCGGCATGGGAGAGCGTGGCCATTCCCAATTCCTCCTTGTTCCCTAAGCCATGAAGAAAGGCATCTACGACAAGTTTGGAGAAGAGGGTCTCAAAGGCGGCATCCCCTTGGAGTTCGGTGGCGAGAACCCCTGGACCGTCGGCTACGTGTTTCACAATAACCCTGACAAAGTCTTCAAGGAGTTCTTTGGTGGAGACAACCCCTTTGCGGGTAGGTAGGGGGGCCCTGAGGGGTGGCCCCGTCCCTGTCTGTGGCTGCTGTGATGCCATGGCCACCACCAGCTCTGAGCTTTAAGCTTTATGGGGATGTTTCCCTGCCCAGCTACTCTCAGGTCCCTCTGGTGCTGCTGGTCCCCAGTGCTCGGAGGTTAGATCCTGACTTCCCCCGGTCTCAGGTGGGTGAGAGGCCTGGGGGTGCGTGTTCAGGCTGTCAGCTCTCCCCAGCTACTGTTGTGACCCTTTTCTTGGAGGATTTCCATCAAAAAGAGGGGTCAGGTTGGCGAGACTGCCGTAAACATGTGAGCAAGATAAAAACACTCCTGGAGAAAAACGCTTTGGCTGGAGGAGGAAGGTGGTCCCGGGCAGAAGCAGACGGGAGGTTTCTGGGTGGCGTATTTGGGGTGCTCAGCTTCCATGATAAGGAGACCCCAGGGGACACCCCCGACCTCTGATCCGAGTGAGGTGACCCCCCTCTGCTCGCTCGTGCAGAGTTCTTTGCCGAGGATGGCTCGGAGTTAATCCTGCCCTTCGGAGGGCTGCGAGGACGAGGAGCGATGAAGCAAGACCCCCCGATCGTGCGGGATCTCTGCCTCTCCCTTGAAGACCTGTTCTACGGCTGCACCAAGAAGATTAAGATCTCCCGCAGGGTAGGGGCAGTGGGGCTGAAGGGGGAGCGCGCTCGGCGGGATGGGGAATTTTGGGCTGGACTCTCCTCTCGGTGTAGGACAATTCGGCAGTGCAGCCTGAGGCTTTAGGGCTGGTCCCGCTCGGTGGGCTCGGCAGACCACAGCACTCTACATCTGTGCTGTGCAGAGGGATCTGAACCAAACCAAGCATAAACGCCAGCAGGATCCGAACCGGTACCCTCCTCTCTCCTGGCTTGCCAAAGGGAATTCAGCATGAGAGGTGATTCGAAAGCTGGTGGGAAGGCAGGGCTGATTTCAGAGGGGGTCAGAGAGGAAGCACGGCGTTTCCTGGGCTCCCACAGTTTCATTTTCACACTAGGCTGTGTCTCCTTTCTGCCCTCAGTGACCTGCATCCCTCCTCTCACTGTCCCAATCTCCTGGTTCCAGCCCTGAGTTTCTCCTATTCGATCTGATCCCATTTGTACCTGCAGCTGCCTTGCTGTGGAGTACGAGCCGTCCTCATCCTCTTCTCCACCTCCTCGCACGCAGCTGGATGAGCAGTGCGGTTATAACCCTCTGTTTGGCACCTTCGTGTCACAGATCACCTCTCTGTCTTGTCCCTTGGGGGGATGACAGCCCTGCCGACAGCCCTGCCGAGAAGGACTTGGGGGTACTGGGGGGTGAAAAGCTGGACATGAGCCGGCAATGTGCGCTCGCAGCCCAGAAGGCCAATCGTACCCCGGGCTCCATCCAAAGCAGCGTGGCCAGCAGGTCGAGGGAGGGGATTCTGCCCCTCTGCTCTGCTCTGCTCTGCTCTGCTCTGCTCTGCTCTGCTGAGACCCCCCCTGGAGCACTGCGTCCAGCTCTGGAGCCCTCGGCATAAGAAAGACACAGACCTGTTGGAGCGGGTCCAGAGGAGGGACACGAAAATGATCAGGGGGCTGGAACAGCTCTGCTATGGAGAAAGGCTGAGAGAGTTGGGGTTGTTCAGCCTGGAGAAGAGAAGGCTCCGGGGAGACCTTACTGCAGCCTGTCAGTACTTAAAGGGGGCTGATAAAAAAGATGGGGACAGACTTTTTAGCAGGGCCTGTTGCGACAGGCCAGGGGGGAATGGCTTTAAACTAAAGGGGGGTAGATCCAGACTAGATCTAAGGAAGAAATGTTTTATGCTGAGGGTGGTGAGACACTGGCCCAGGTTGCCCAGAGAGGTGGGGGATGGCCCGTCCCTGGAAACATTCCAGGTCAGGTTGGACGGGGCTCTGAGCAACCTGACAGAGTTGAAGATTTCCCTGCCCACGGCAGGGGGGTTGGACTAGATGGCCTTTAGAGGTCCCTTCCAACCCAAACCATCCTACGATTCTATGACAGACCGGGTAGCCATCCAGGGTTGCCTGCCCCATCTGCGTGGCTGTGTCTGGCACCGCAGGGTCGTGATCCGGCCCGGGGGCTCAGCGCTGCTGCGGACGGAGCCGGCACCTTGTGCTGGCTGCTCTGACAGAGCAGAGCCGAGCTCCCACCTGGTCACAGACCCACCTCTCTGGACAGGACCCTGCTCTTCTAATCCCCTCGTCCACCCCCCAGGTGATGAATGAAGATGGTCAAACGAGCACCATCAGAGATAAGATCCTAACGATTGACGTGCAGCCGGGGTGGAAGCAGGGTACCAGGATCACCTTTGAGAAGGAAGGGGACCAGGTAATGACCGTGGTGTGAAGTCCTGGGCCGGGTTTCCTCGGGACCGACCGCGCACCCTTTGCAGGTTTCCCGTTTCTGCAGGCTGTGGGCGGTTGGTGGCATGGCTAACGGGGCGATTCAGTGTTACTGTGCTCAGAAACACCCGAAGGAGCCCATCCTGCCTGGATTTGCCTTAAGATAGGTAAAAATTAATAACCGAAAGGGATGGTTTTCTGCCTGTCATCACTTTTGCGAAACCCAGTCTGATTTCCCTTGGCTTAGTGGGAGTCTTTTACCAAAGACTCTTTTTTTTCTTAAAGGAAGAAAATACTTTTCCCCTCTCCCCAGCCAGCTGAAAGCAGCAACAAAGGGACAGGCGTTTGTGTCACCTTTCCCCGTGTAAAATCATTTGTGTTACGCCAAACCATTTCCAGGTTCCTATTTTTTTTCCCCTCGATTTTAGGGCCCAAATGTCATTCCCGCTGACATCACCTTCGTTGTCCAAGAGAAACTCCACCCAAGGTTTAAAAGGGCCAACGACAACCTCGCTTACGTCGCCACCATCCCCCTGGGAAAGGTAAAGAGCCAAGCGAGGGGACGGAGCCAGCCCCTGCTTATGTTTGCCCTCTGGGGCTGCAGATGCAGCTCCGGGTCCCGCTCCGTGCCTTGCAGGCGCTGATCGGTTGCACGGTGGACGTGAGGACGCTGGACGGGAGGCTGCTGAACATCCCCATCAACGACATCGTGGAGTAAGTGCCGTGGGGCAAACGGCCGGTGGGCTCAGGCGGTCGGACGGGGCCTTTCTGCAGAGCTTGGTGGCCAAGGAGGTGAACGGGCGCTTGGGAGGAACCTCAGCGTTGGCCTGTTCCTCCTCGGCAAGAGCTCGGCACTTCCCGAGCACGTCCCCCGTTGCCTGAATTACTGGGGTGCTTCAAAACCTTTTCCAGCAGGTTCGGGGCTGGGGGGGTCCCAGCCTGGAGGAGGAGGAGGACGCCCACCCTGGGGCTGCTTTTCTGGTTTGGGGCCGTGTTGCAGGTAGCAGAGGCTCCTGGAAGACAGGAGCGAGAGGGGGGACAGCAGAGCTTGGTGGCCAAGGAGGTGAACGGGCGCTTGGGAGGAACCTGGCCTGTGGCCTGTTCCTCCTCGGCAAGAGCTCGGCACTTCCCGAGCACGTCCCCCGAATTACTGGGGTGCTTCAAAACCTTTTCCAGCAGGTTCGGGGCTGGGGGGGTCCCAGCCTGGGGGGGAGGACAGCCTGGAGGAGGAGGAGGACGCCCACCCTGGGGCTGCTTTTCTGGTTTGGGGCCGTGTTGCAGGTAGCAGAGGCAGGGAGAGGGCTTGGCGTGGGTGGGTGGAAGACAGGAGCAAGAGGGGGGGCGAGGAACCTGGGGACACAAGGCTGGAAGAGGAGGGCAGGCCACCGGCTGAAGCTGGAGGAGCAAACTTGCCCGGAGAAACCCGCTCAGAAGCGAGCGTGGGGCTCTGCGTGTGGACGCATCGGGGACGCGTGTCGGGATCATCCCGCGGCTCCTCTCAGCCCCTTCCTTTGCTTTGCAGCCCCAAGTACTGTAAAGTGGTGCCAGGGGAGGGGATGCCGCTGCCCCGGGACCCCCGGCGCAAGGGTGACCTCCTCATATATTTCAACATCTGCTTTCCCAAGAAGCTCACGCCTGACAAGAAAATGCTCTTGAAAAGCGCCCTCCTGTCCTAGGGGCCGATGACCTTCCCCCTCTCCTCCCACCAATAAAGCTCTGGAGCCAGCACTGTGACCGGGCAGAGGTTGTTCCCGGTGCTGAGCACCCTAAAACACAGCACCCTTGAGGCTGTTTCCCCTGGGGCTCGGATCCACCTTGCTCTCCGGACTCTTCTCCGTAGCTGCTACCCCGCAACAGTGGCACCACAGCAGTCGGGAGGGTTGGACTGCTCCCAGCTCGTGCATGGGAACAGTGGTGGTTTGGGGGTGACTGGGGGCAGGGTGGTCTCCTGGCGCCTCCCTCCCCTGGGGGAAGATGCTCGGGATGGAAATCGGCCGTGGCCCTGGCTGCGCCTCTGCGGCAGAGCCGGGCCCCTCACCGCTTGCGAGGTGGGATTTCAGCAGCACGTCCTTGATGAGATCGTAGGTGGCCAGCTCGGTGCGCTTCACCACGGCCCTGCGGGCCACGTTGGGGGGACGTTCCTGGGGGAAGCAAAGCGGTCAGGGCCGTGGTGCTGGAGCAGCCATCCCGGCGGGGGTCCCGGGGGCCGCACCCACCTTTCCACAGCCTGTGGCCACCCTCCTCCTTGGCAGGGGCCCATGCCGACGGAGGCGAAGCTCGTCCCCTCGCTGCAGCCCGGCCCCCAGTCCCCCGCAGAGGCTGCGGGGTCCCTCCATCCTCACCGTGGTGGCGATGGTGCCGAAGACCCCCCTTGTACTGCCCCGCTGGCCTCTTACCCGTGAGCTTCGCCTTCCCCCTGAATCTGTGCGGGGAGAAAACGGGGTGAAGAGGCTTTACGCCACCGCAGCCCCCTCCTGGGGCAGTGGGATTTGGGGTAAGGAGGGCAGGGGAGCCTGGCTCACCTGCAGCTGCGCTTTGGTGGTGTCCGGGGGGGGGGGGCGGAGGGGGGG